GTTACCTTTTAATAAAAGCCTTGCGGATCCACTCCTGCGATACCTGTCTTAAATATAACAAAGATCACGTTGAATTAGACGATTTTTCTTTTTATTGCTTTTAAAAGGCATATGATAACGCCAATTCAGATACATTTGGAAATCTGCAACTGTCAAATGATGAATTTGTAGAACTAATATTCAATATTGAAAAGATATTTTAAAATAATTTTGAAGAATTGGCTACAAAAAATAACATTTGTACCACACTTTTAGAATTAATTAACCCAATACCCTTTAGTCATCCATGCTAACGTTTTCCAAAAGAATAACTTATTTTATTGTATGTTTAATCTCAATAACTAAAAAATATACTGACAATTAGTTTGACAGAATTGTCATTTATTTCAAATTTTAAAAATAATAGCAGTCGGTTGATCAAAATATGAACGGTGATTGGCGAATTTATTTTTTTTTGCAGTGTTCTCACTACCTAGAATGGATATGAAATATATTCGTTCAATTGAAGGCAATAGCATACTTTTTCGTTTTGTAATCTGTGCATGGATATTAGCCAATCTACGCACATACTACAAAACGAAAAATTATGTTATTGCGTTCAACTACGAATATATTTCATATCCATTTTAGGTAGTGAGAACACTTTAACAAAATTAAATCTACAAATCACAGTTCATATTTTGGTCACCCAACTCCTATTATTTAAAAATTTTTAAATAAGTGATAATTCTGTTAAACTAATTGTCAATATATATTTTAGTTATTGATATTAAATATACATTAAAATTTTTGTGTAGACTCGATAAATAATAGCATTTTTGTTTTTATTATGTCCACATTTAAAAAAAAATAAATTTTAATCAAACTACATGATACTAATTTAATTACGAGTATTAAAACTAAAGTCCTGAAAGTTTCGGTGAAGATGAGGACAGAACATCTGCCTTCCATGCGAAAAGCCTGGGATCGAATCTAGGCCGAGGACTAATTAATTTTTCATGTTTATTTTATTTTATAAATTAGTCAACTTCGTAAATTATTTTAAAATTAGTTATTTTGTCTAAATAACCTAAAATAATTTTTTAAATTTGTAGATTTTCGTTAGTGGGTCGTAGAAAAAATATACTGACCATATCGAGTGGATTGTTCATATCACAATTAGACGATTGAGTACTCCGCCTACGACGTCGTGCTCAAACTTCGTCTTTGTGTGATATGGCTATCATATCCACCCTTGTTGAACAAACTACAATTTATTTGTTTTCTTGGTTTAAGTTTTACATCAGAAATAAGAACTAAATTAATTTACTTTTCAAGTTTTCTTGTAAAAATCGATATTACTTTCTCCAAGTACAAATTTAGTACCTACCTAAAATAAGTACTAATTATGTAATATCGTGTAATATTGTAATTCAAATTTCACATTACTATAAAGTTTCAAAATTCCCTACTTCGGTATGGTCAGATAAAAATTGTATATATTATATTAATAAAAACTGTTAAAGTATTACTTCTACAAATCTGTATTTCAATTAATAAGAATACATCTAAATATAACCAATATTGTTAAAATAAAAGCACAAATTCTTTATAATTCCAAAATACCATAGAGTTCCCAGACCTCAGTCGAAGCATTCTTTTATCTAGGTATAAACCCTTTGCGCGAAGAGTAACACTTGCCAGATACACGGGGTACCACTTGATTTGCATCCACGAGCGTGACACATTTCTTTAACAATTGAAGCCCTTGGTGTAAAAAGGATCCAAGTCACAATTTGTCGTGAAGTGACTGTTTTAGCTCAAAACATTTGTTAACGAGGATTTTACTAGCCACATACAAATTATTTTACCTCTAATCCGAAAGATGTGCTATTTTTCGTAATATTTATATTTAAATAATTTTTTTAATTATATTTGACAGATTTAAAACAAATTAAAAATTTAATTTCCCAAAACTTACTTAACATGGCATGTAACCAACCTTATTACGTCAAGGTTTTCAATTTTTTCAATAATAAAAAAATTGCTTAATCCGGGCCCGACTTTTCCCTTTAATCTAACAGAGATAGCACCATTCCGTCTTGCTTGGTTCTCGACCGCCAGATCAAAGACGCCGACACGGAGTTGTGGAGCTGTATTGTATAAGCTGTGCTCTAGTGATAAATAAATAATCAATTCATGAAAGTAATCGATTATTGGAAAAAACGATTAATCGAAAATAATCGATAAAATCGAAATGAATCGAACAGAAAATAATCGAAAAGAATCGAAAAAAAAAACGAAAAAATCGAAAAGAATAGAAAATAATCGAAATGAATCGAAAATAATCAAAGAGAATCGAAAAAAATCGAAAAGAATTGAAAAGAATCGAATCGAAATTAATCAAAAAGAATCGAAAATAATCGATAAATTATAAAGAATCGATTGTTTTTAAGTAATCTACTAGTCGAAAATAACTGATTATTTATTTTGATGATCGCCCGGCCCTAACGTTTTTAGCAATCCATTTTGGCCACAAAATTATTTAAATAGGAAGTTTTATTTGAGTAACTGGATTTTTTTTATTAATTTACCAAATGTGGCAACGTTGAATTAAAGACTCCCAGTCAGGGTGACCTTGATCAAGCACAATAATTGATCGTTGGACCAAACGAAGGAACATTTTTGGTTCTAGTCATCAAGTGTTTCCACACAACCTTCGATATAAGTGGTGCTTTTTTGAGTGACTTTATTCCATGTTAACCTATGTATTTGGCCTCTAGTGTAAATGGAATATTTACTCCTTTCCGTACTGGTGACTTTAGTCCTGTCAGTACTTTTCGTTTTGTGAACAAGTATTGTGACATCTCCTGTTGTCAGCAAATGAGTTGTATGCAAAGCATATAATAAGTATTTATTTTATGGGACGCCCGCCCAGGCACAATGTCTTGAAACATTTCTAAGCCTGCTAAAGCCACACGAGCTTGTCCGCGTATACGGCTCAACTTTGACAGGATTGGACGCACACCCATACAGCACAAACACATTTCTGAAATATTTCAACAATGTTACATTGAAACATTTGCAATGTTGTATAAATATTATGAAACATTTCTGAAATATGCCTGAAACGTAAAAATGTCCTCTAAATATAATATTTCACAGTAATATTTCTGAAATGAAAATTAGAAATCTTTTAGAAATATTAAATAGTAATATTTCAGAAATGTATTCTAGTTTTTTTTTCTAATATATTATTAGACTAAAAAAAGATATTTAAAAATATACATGTTTATTTAAAATACACAAAACTCAAACATTGATTCTTAAATAAACAAATAAATATGTTTTAAAGTGAATTGCTTTATTTTCACCAATTCCTATAAATGCACTAATTTGAAACAACTAGGTTTTTTTTTAATAAATGCTTCAAGTAAAGAAACATTTACGATTATTATAATCTAATCATTAAGATCAATTAGCAATTTTATTTTTACCTAACTTATCTAGGGATGAAAAACTTCATAAACTAAGATTCTACTCACTATATAGTGTAGTTAAGAGTCTAATTATTTAGTTACACTATTGTTAACGTATTGTCATGAAATTCCTAAGCTGACCCTGTCTAAAGCAGCTTGGCATCCGACTCGTGCTCGAAACGACGGAATCTCCTAGGAATGCCGCTGACGCTCTAGAAACGGTTAGAACGGGCGGAGAGTGCCGTTGAGTCAGAGATGGAATTTTCGGGAGCGTCTAGAGACTTCTCGTAGCAGAGTTGGACTTGGTATAAATAGCCCGGCTCATTGGCGCACAGTTTAGTTTAGTATAGAGTATTGGACTGAACACATAAATTGTAATAAATAAATTAGAATTGTTAGTGTCTAAGTATTATATAAATTAAATAGTACGTCATAAATAAATTGTAAATAGTGTGTTTTAAATAAATATACTATAAATAAGTTAGACTATCGGTACAGTATAACACTGAATCACACTATACTCTGTTTTAATCTAACATCACTGAACTAACTTAAAAGGCCTGGTTCTCTGGACTCTTCTTATTAGATTGGCATTGTTGAGGAGCTGGATAATCTCAAGGTTTCCATGTTGGAGCAGTCGTTGTTGGTGACTACTGGCAAATTTTTGTATTGTAGTTTTATTAATATTATTTTAAATTAACTATAATAAAACAAACAATATAATCATGCCTAAACAAAACATGAAGCTCCGCTTTTCAATCAGCTGTAGAACTAATAAATAAAACTGGTAGAGGGACAGCAAATGTAGGTTATATTTAAATAAAAATAAGATTAAAACTGCCTGTAATTTTGATAAACGAAATAGCGTCATTCGTCTCAGAGAAGAGATAAAGTAAATAAACCAAACCTAAACAAGCATTATTTCTGTAGTACTCACTTCAATTTCTAAAGACATATTCTGCTTCCCAGACAACAACAGCACAACGCATAAATAAAAAAAAAGAAAATGGCAAAACCGACACCTCAAATCTATAATTATCTAGAATATAGGGTTGTCTCAGGCTGGACATAGGATGAAATAAAATAACTACATATCCCATCTTCTTCTTACAAATCAGAAATTCTTCATTAAGTGTTGGCCTTTTACAACATATCCCCGTTTAGTAACCTTTTGTGTAACATATTTCCATGTTTCAGAAACATTTTCAGTTAAATATTCAACTAAAATATTTCAGAAACTTGTGCTTGACATGTTATATGTTTGAAACGTTTGAAATATTTCTGAAACACTTCTGAAATAATGTGTGCTATTGCTATATGGAAAGTACCAAAGCCAGCACTCCGATTTATTATTATTGTTCTCAAATTAACATTCAATGTTGGGTTTGAATTAACAGTGCTGTTTTTAAAGTGACACTGGGAACAGAGTGTATCAAAGAATACATAGAATTTGCACCAATGCATTATTTCAGAATGGACCTCAGTAGTATTATGTAATGTAGCTAAAAAAATTATCTAAGTATCTGAATTTTTGGTTTTTAGGTTGGTCCATAGGTGAACATGGCGAATTTGCTAAATATAGCAATTTTGATATAGCAACTAAAGTGCCTTTGTTGATTCATGTACCAGGTTTTTCTGAAAATGAAGTCATATTCAGCAATCCTGTAGAATTAGTCGATTTGTTTCCTACACTTGTAGATTTAACTCAGGTATCAGAACCTCTAAAAAGGTGTGCTTTCAACAAATCTGAAATTTTATGTACAGAAGGACGAAGTTTGGTTCCATCTATCTTTAAAAAGAGTTTAAATAAGGTAAGTACCCATTTGTATTTACAAATATCACATGATTATTGCCACGTTCTACTATAGATTAAACACTACAGACAGTTTTTGCTCCTAGTCCTAGTTGGTCCTTTGAAATTGCAGAATACAGATTACAATTTTTTTACACAAATATTCTGGCGATTTAAGCATGGCTATTCAGCTTTTATTTTTAACTCTAGCAGGTGGACTGCCATATACGTAATTTACAAAAACATAGTGTGGTGCCAAGTAAATGAGCAGTGCAGTGACGTGGCGTGTGCCAAAGGGTGGAGAAATTACAGGGATGTCAACTAGAACCTTAAGTGTGAATGAAAGAAAATCTTTCAATCTACACTCATTTATAAACTTAGAACCTGGGACCTTCACTGGGTCTTAGGCTCGCATTGAGTCTATTTTATTCGCACTAGATTTATTATAAACCCGCACTGGTTTTTAAATAAAACTCCTACTGGGGTATGCCACTATCTGGAATCACATGTAATGTGATCAGAAAGAAAAAGTGTGTCCAGTTTACCATCGTTCGTCTCGAATTTGTGTTGTAACCTACCTGTATCCTTCTGTTTATCAATAAGGTCCGTATTTATAAACTTTCGTTCAAGGACGACTCACCCAAGTCCGACTTAGCTGAGTTCTGTTTATAAATAACGAACCTAAATAATATCTCAGATTCTTCTGCCAAAGAACTAAAACTGGATGAACTGAATTTTCTATATCTGAAAATTCTGCTATTTACGTTGGTGATTTTCTTCAGCAGAGTCGCTTCCGCTGTTTAAGATTTCTTTCTTTTTGTTTGTTTCTTACCTCATCCTTACTTAAACGATACAATTTTGAGTCGCTGTCCGACGTTTCTTACTATAAATAATAATATTTTGGCATATATTATTAAAATTTAAAATCTTTTGATTTTACGTGTGTACACAACTTCGCACCAAGATGTAAAGTGACAATATAGAGGTCCAAAATTTTAATTTCCCTAGATAATTTCTTCAAAATTCCCTAGATTTTTCCCAGATCTGTTAGGAAATGAGGAAAACATGAAGACAAAAGTTATTCGAAAATAAAACATATCTCTATTTATTAATATGTTTTCGCAAAATAAAAATTAGGCTACTTATATATGGTTTATTTTTTCTTTTTAACAAATACAATATAAAATACATAGAAAATAAACGATACTATTAATTTTTGGTATTAATTGTCGTAAATTTGGTTGTTTAACTGAGCCACTGTATCAATTTTAAAATCGAAACAGTTGCTGAGTTTTATAAAATTTTTATTATTTTATAAAGTGACCATATTTAAATAAAGTAAAAAGCGGGACAAATCTCGAAAACGTGGAAATCTTTCGACGAATTCTATTTGCAGTAGTGACGGTTTGGTTCATTGAAGAGCAAAAAAAGGATGTAGAATACTATTCCCCTTATGTGATTCCCCCTAAAATACTACCAAACCGGGGTCTGGGGACCTATTTTCAAACTCGAGAGAAAGGATTTCTTTCAAGATTTTCTGAAGAAACATTATTTTTAAAGCCAGTGAGAATTTGTCTCGAAATAAACCGTTTTACGTTGACATTTCTCATGAAAATCTCTCGAATTTGAAAATAAGCTCAACTGGGTATTTTCTTACAAAATTTTTCTTTGTTTTTATTTTGGGAGTAACATTTATAGTAAATTCGTTTTTGCCAAGGGTAAAACGTTTCCTAATAATATCTTAAGTGATTGTTTAATAAAGTTTTTTTACAAATATAACAAAATCAAAGAAGCTTAAAAATTTCCTAATTATAGAAAATATCCCTTTTTTCCATACCGATTGCAGATTTTCCCCAGCTTTAGGGAAATTTACCTACCAGTGGCAACACTGAGCCACGCCTGCAGAATGCGGTAACTACATACTACATAGGTAATTTACATATAGAGTTAGGTTAGGCCAACTATATGGACTATGGTGCATCAACTAGCTCATAAATTAGTACTACGTTTACTTCTCATCTGAAGAAGGGAGCGCAGTGTATTATTATGTGACACATTGTAAAATACCGTGATTTTAAATTTTTGTTCCGTATTTTCATGTTCATAGTCTGCTTGAATTTCATCGTGAAAATGTCTGTTCTTTTTGGTTTTTCTTTAAAATTTTGGGAATTGTTAAAACTAAAGCTTCTCTGCTGTGAAAAGGAAAATGTTTCATCATTTATTAAGGAAACTAAATCCCTTTGGTTGAAATTTATTAAATTTGCCGCCCTGTTCACATTTATGTCAGCTTTCTGCAAATGATTTGATAATACGAATATTTCATTTAGTACTTCTTTCCAAAAACACATAAGAAATTTAAATTCTACCGTTTGTACAGTATTTAATATACCAGTTTTTTTTCAGTGGTATTGGTAATTTCTCCAGAAATATTTTTTTCGCAGATTTCTCTAACTACTACAATGTTCTTTAAACACGCATCAACGGCCCTTTTATGGCTAGCCCATCTGGTTACCGATAACTTCTTTAAGATTAGCTTGAACAACTTCGATTTGAATTGCTTGGAATAGCTTCAAGCGAGGAAAACGTTCTGATGTTTTCTCTAAAGTACCACACACAAGAGTTAATACTACCAACAAGTAACAAATTAAGATTGTGAGCATCGGACAAAGCGGGACAAAACCGGGACTAGTAGTTTAAAATCGGGACTGTCCCGCCGAAATCGGGACACTGATAGTCACTTTAGTCACCGGATGGCAAAAGTTGCGCTTATCAGTTATAGGTTGACTTACAAAATTAGTTTAGTAATAACCTCTTTTTGCTTTTTTATTGTGAATAGCGAATATAATCGGGGAACAAGAGGGCGTCATAGGTTCTCCAAACTCAAAGGGCCATTCATTATTCAGTCCCTAACACAAGCAAAGCAGGACCGACGGATCCTTAAACCTTTCTTGGAATCTCACTCGTTTCTGTTTTTGAACGTAATAACAATGTTATAAAATTTACCAATTCATTGAGTTTATTCATCAACTCTGCATACATACCTGATGAAGTTTCAGAATAACATTTTCGAACGTCAATGTGGATAAGAGAAAAATACGCCCAAGTTAAATATTCGAAAATAATGAATTACGAAAATATATTCATCCTTCCTTTTGTTCTTAGAACATTCCACCATCTGTTGCATTTACACAATACCCAAGACCAGGATTGAGGCCCACCCTGCAGCCTAACAGTGATCAACCCAAATTTCAAGAAATAACTATAATGGGTTACTCACTGAGAACTAATAGATATAAGTATACAGAATGGGTAAAATTTTCCATCAAAACATTCAAGCCAAATTGGGATGTTGTTTATGGAAGAGAATTATATGACCATGTAATTGATCCTGATGAAAATAATAATATAGTTGACAGGGACGTACTAAAAAATATCACTAAAGCGTTAAGAAAAAAATTGATATTAGGTTGGAGATATTCTTAACTTTTTTAAATTGTTTTAACATTTCATTATTATTTTGTTAATAAATATATAAGTAAATACGTTTTATTTTTTTGTCAATTTCCTTCAACATTTTTTTTTTGTCAATTTCCTCCGACATTTTTTTTGTAGGTTGAAAAAAAAATTATGCTGTTACACTGTGAAATTCTCATTTTTATGCGGATTTTCTTTAAGAGATAAACAAGAGTTCTTAATAGTCTCAGAGTTCTCTATGCCTAGTTTAATATGTATTTAAAGCATTTTGATCTGAAAATCGAGTCACCAAAGAGGCAAGTACCTCAGTATGCAGTGGCGGCTGGTACATAAGTGCTGCAGGACTGCCAAAAAATGCAAGTATTTCATTTACATTTCATAGAAATTATTACAGACATTCTAAAATATACGTAATATAAATTTTATGGATTATCTCATTAATTTTAATTGTGAAATATTATCCATAGCTAAGAATAAGTCCAGTCATATTCATCTCTTAGTTGGGTCGCTTCTGGACGGTCTGTGCACCGCTTGGGCCGCCCGCGCTCATCATCTCACCTCACCGCGGCTCCCTAAAAAGTAACGCCACGACACTAGTGTTTGAGCTGCATTTTTACCAGATCGGTGGGCTTTGCTTATAATCTGTCGCATATGTGATGTGATTCGATTTCGGTTTTGTAGATTATTAGCTTGTGTTAATTCGGCAGCGCTCGTTTCCATTGTACATGAAATACATAGGGATGTAGTTTATAAGTTAATACACGAAAATAGATTCTTTAATACGCGTATAAGTTTGCCGATACAGAGGACCACAGAATAAAATTAATGTATAAAAAGTAGGTGAATAAAAGCGGTAAAATAATAATTGGGGAGGGGGAGGCAGACTATTGCAGAACACCCAATGTCTTTAATCACGAGCCACTGCCTCAGTGAAGTCTCAGAAGACGGTGACCTGTCGCATCAGACTAATATAAAATGCGTATAGTATTACAGCATCTTAGCCAAGGAATTCACTAAAGGATTTGGATAGGTATGCAGATTCTGAAAGAATATATCTACAGTAGGTATAGATCGAAACATAAAGACGAAAACAGAACATAATAGCGATATATGACCAAATAAATAAATAAATAATAAAACAACAAGCTCGATGTTCCGCTTTTGATACTTCTACTTCAACATTAGCGGAATAATTGTATAATGTTAGGTATGATGCTTTCTCTTTTCCTCTCATAGAACCTAAAGTAGGGAACCGATTAGACAATCGCGGTCCCTTCGCATCGCGGGCTGTGCTAGTCTCGATCGTAGCGTGGTCTCCCCGTCTCCCGAGATTCTTTGGAAAAGATAGGCGAACGCGATGCGAGCGAGTGCAGCTCGAGAACACCAAGTGGAAATGCACGTGTTATAAAAAAACATGGGAATTACCTAATTCGTTCCCTCCTTAATAGTGTATAATATGTTACAGAGTGATGGCTAGAAATTCAGTAAACTACTTCAGTTAATGCTAGCATTTTCTTAATTCATTAGGAAATGTTATGCATGAACGAAACTTTTATAATTTTACTAGTGAATCTTGGAAAAAGCTAACAACATCTACTGATGAAAGTAGCAAGTAAAAGTAATTTCATATGTTCATGGTGTTTTCTTGGATATGTTATTGAATTTATATTATTTCCTATATCTTTCTTCTTGGGCATTGGCTAAAGCTTCTTAAGGAATGCTTGATGTTGTTAATACTAATTTGATGTTCAAATAGAGGTTTTTATTTCTAAATGATATGCTTTTTTTCATTAACTCAATAAAACCTGTTTCTTTTGTCCAGTGCGATGTTTGGTTATGTTGGGAATGGGGTGTTAATACACTGCGAACTAAAAGATCTATTGTGCCCCCTTCTATCACTAATGCAAGGGAATGTCTCAATGCCTATAACGACCCTTCCAATTCTATCTTCTCAAGGAAGTGTAGGATTTGGAGTGGCTTCAAGTTAGGTAAATCTCCATCTTCTATTTGATATCCTCCTAGGAATAGTGCCCTTGGATTCTGAAGTGCTACACATTCAGTTAGAATGTGAATAGAGGTTTCGTCCTCCTCCTCACAGAATCTGCACTCACTATCCTCTAGTACTCTCAGTTTACTAAGGTGTTTTAGTCCGCAATGCTCGGTAAAGATCCCTGTTACAATACGTAGACTTTTCTTGCTCAGGCAGATGCAGGCTTCAGATCTTTTCTAGTTATATTCACCTAGAAATTTATTAGCTTGTTTCAGCACCAAGAGATTGTTCTAATTATCGGTTCTTCTACTGCCTAATTCTTTTTTAATCTTCCCCAATATTATGTTACTGCTGATACCGCAGAACGGCTCAGATCCTACAAAGGGTGTTTGAGTCCCTTTCCTTGCAAGACTATCTGCAATTTCGTTACCCTGTACCCCGTTATGTTCCGGGACCCAAGTGAGAGTAACTCTATTTTTCTCGCCTAGCTCATTCAATTGTTCTAGGCATCTACAGACCATTTTGAGCTGATTACATAATAGCTCAGCGCTTTGATAGCTGCTTGGCTATCGGACATGATGATAATCTCTTGTCTATGACCGTTTCTCTCGATGTTAAACTGGATACATTTCTCGATGGCGTGAATTTCCGCCTGGAAGATGCTTGGATATTTTCCCAAGCTTTCGGAATGCTTGGTTCTCGGCCCATACACTTCCTTCTATGGTTTTGGAACCGTCCATATACCACTGAATAGCATGTCTTTCGGTTGCAAGCACGATGGATTCTTGGCTCCATTCTTTCTTGCAGCCCAGCTCTGTGGTTTTGAAGTTTTTCACAAAACTGTACTTCTTTAGCATTTTATCCTGGGGCATGTCCCCGGTATCTTTAATCCTGAAGCAAGTAGACTATCGTCTGATTACTCCGTTCCTGATCATTCTATATCTTGTCCTTTTTGCCACATTTTCTATTATCAAATGTAGAGGGGTGAGGTTTAAGATCACCTCCATTGCGGCCGTAGAACAGGTTCTCATTGCACCGGTGATGCAAACACAGGCTAGTCTTTGTACTTTTGAGATATTAGCTCTCGTAGTAGTTAAACTAGTTCTGTTACTCCAGGCTATAGCCCCCGTAAGTGATGATTGGTCTCACTATTGCAGTATACATCCATCGCAGTGTGTTTGGGTTACATCCCCATCGTTTATTCGCAATGTTTCTGTATACCATTAGGGCTTTTGTGGAAAATAGTGAATGAAACTTGTTCATACATATTGCTTAGTGTTATTATTAGTACATAATTCTATAGTCAATTAAAAAATCATTATTTTTAAGTAAACCGACTTTAGGTTAAGGCTGTTCTACCGCTTTCCGTTCGGTATTTATATAAAATTCTGTTACGGTCAGGAAATTATCCTTGTTCAAATAAATTAAATTGTGGTAAAATTGTATATTGGTCAAACGGGCCGTACTTTCAAAAAAAAACAGCTATTTAAAACATTACAATAGTTATACTAAAAACAAAAATAATTCTACAAAACATATTTTTATCTGAAAATCAATTGTTTATGCAAAAATTGTTTCACATTTTGAGAATAAAGGCATTAAATTAAATCATTTAGAAACACTTGAAATAAATAGATTTAAAAATTCAAATATCCTCTTAAGTGATCAATTAGATATTAATAACTGAGCTTAATTAAATCTTTTTACCTGTTCTTAGTTTTCTGTGAGATAATCCCGGTAATGGTAACTTATTGGAATTTTATTTACAGAAAACAAATCTTTTGTTGAATCGTCTGTCCAATTCTTTTAAGAATTATGTCCGCTGTGCATATATGTTTCATCTAAATAAACGATTGGTCTATTTTGACTTCTAAAATATTTTATCTGTCTCAAATATTTTACTCTTAAAGTTCTTATTTTCATTTTTTCCACCAAAACTTTACGATTATTTTGTGTTTTTCTCCATTTAAATTGTATATCAAAATATTAATTAAAAATAAAATGCATAGATATGTGTGTAAAAAACAAAAAAAAAAAAATATGGAAAACTACGCAAGTTTAATTGCAAATAAACTACAGAGTATGTTTATTTGTTGCTTGTGCAGTTTGAAGTTTGATATCATCTAAAGTAACTCCTTCCTTTTTTGTTGCGTCAAAATATTTAAAAACATTGTATATTACTTCACGACTTTGTCCGTTAATAACAGATCTGCGCTTTTTTTCACCCACAGTAGAAGACATTATCAAAAATAAAACCAGTCACTTTAACCAAAACACAGAAACAAGAAACAAACAATGATCTAGTCGTTACGCTACTGACCGACCGTAAGCAAGGACAAGGTTCAAATTGTGAATGGGCGTGGCAATTTTTAAGTAAACGAACCTGAGCATTTGCGCTGGTTCTTTAGATTTGGCGTTTACTGTAGGATAGTTGAACAAGAACAAACTTACATGCGGAAGAGTTAACAGGACCTTCGACAAGTTGGAATTGCTGATGATATAGCTCAAATTGGAAAACACCGACAAAAAGGGAAGCCTTCACAGATACGTATAATCTCTCATCAGTGGCAACATTCGGCTGCAGCACTGCTTCATTCGAATCTAACCTTTTCGGCGTTAACTGTAATATACTAGCCCCAAAGAATGTCAGTGGCTCACAAGAGAATGATATAGGTCTTATGTTTATTAAATTTAGAAGGAAGATGATTGAGAATATAGATATCGATGAAAAACTACTAAAATTCTACATGGCAAATCGAAGGTTTTTACTATACTAAAAATATTTTTTCATTAGTTTAATCGATTTGTAAATTTTTATAAACCGCTGCTTAACAAAAAGATTGACAGAAAATTTATGACATTGCTATAAAAAATATGAATCTATTCCTGGAAAAAATTAAATATATATTTGATACACACACACACTAACGCACGCACCCACACACACACACTAACGCACGCACCCACACACACACACTAACGCACGCACCCACACACACTAACGCACGCACCCACACAC